TGGCGCAGGCAGGGAGACTCGGACAGCTCAGGCCAGTGTTGCCACTGGAACTACAGCGCAGTAGCTGCGAGGACTGGGCCTGGGAGAGCAGGAGGAGCTCAGCCTGTGTGGTATGTACTGGGGAGCCGGGTGCCCTACAGCACTGCTGGAGACGGGTGGCAGTGCTGCACCGAATTAACTAGAATAGGCCTGGGTTCAGATGTGGAAAAATGGACTCCACTGTCGCATCCGCTGTCGTGAGCTTTGCCGCAGTTAGCCACCATGAGGCCAACATCTGTGTGGACAGGTACTACGTTGAGCACTTTATTTAAAATAATCCTTCCAGCAGTGCTGGCAGGAACATGCTCATTTTTGAGGCGAGGAGATGGAGGCTGAGCTGTTTCCAGGGCCTGTCTAGCTTTCTCTTTATCTCCCCTTGACCCGCCCAAAACTCCCAGGCTCAGGATAGTCCTGACTGGGGACAGGGAGTGGGTCCCAGAGGGAAAGTTGTACAGGCAGGGCTAAGCGGTCCCCCACAGGATACAAAGGGAAACCTAGTTCTGTTCCCAGCACCTGCTTGCTGCTGTATTTGCTGCTTCCGTGCAAGACAGAGCGGAATTCCTTCTGACGGGCCTCTTCTTCCCCTAGTGAAATACTCCGCGCTGCACACGCAGTCTGCAGAGCCGCCACCACCCGAACCAGCCAGGATCTGAGGGCCCTGTCCAGCTGTAGGCGTGCACAGTGGTGCCACCGCTTGTCACCCGGCTCCCCCCTTCTCCCCACCCTTCATTTGGACCCACAGCTGCTGTGCTGCTCTGTGTCGTCGGCTCCTTGTTGGTCTAAGTTTTCCGGACGAGCTCTGGGGGTTTGTGAGTTTGGTTTCTCTGCCCTGCCACAGGTGCTCTGAGACTTGGTGCCGAAATTCAAGAGCCAGCTCTGATAGAAAGCCAGCACCAGCCTCGGGAACTGCTGAGCCACCAACTCCCAAAGCCAGCCTGCCTCCAGCTTTACTGAGCACAGGATGTGGGGGCCAAGATGATGCTGGGGCTGGATGACATGTATGCTTAGGGGACAAGAGTTTGAACCCATGGGACTGTGACCCCTGCACACTGGAGTGGCTCATTGTGGCAGGTTTCTGCCAATAGCCCCTGACGGTGACCTCAAGGAGCTGCAGGTGGGGAACTCAGCCTGCACCCACTTCACTTGGAGCCCCTGCAAGGAGCGAACCAGTCAGCACCAAGTGACAGCACGCGCACGCAGCACCCAGGATGATGGTTTCACTTCGGTCTTCCCCATCCCGGCTTTTATGTTGCTGGGCTTCCAGAGAGCCGGTGCAAGTGGAGACTTTCAGTTATTTAAGTGCAGACATGTGTCTCATGATAGTCCTGCCCTGAGAGTTTAGAAATCCTCTGGATAAGTATGAAGCAATTCATAGGCTTGTTTCCCATCCGATTCCATAGGGGACTGGATGTGGCCTTAGGGGTGACATGATAAAGGTCTTTAGGAATCATTTCTGCATTGGAGATGAGTTTTATCCTGTGTTGGGGAGAGGTGCGCACCCTCCACCCTGTATCTATTCCTATTTTGGTAGCAAGAGCTACCGATGTCAAGAACGAGCATCAAAGCCAGAATCATGCTTGTTGTTTGCTTAAAAATGTAATTGGGGGCGGCGGGGGAGGAGAGGGGGAAGACACGTTTGCTTGGTTTAGTGAAACACACGTGACTTTATAGCTCTGTGGTCAGCCTACCTGTCTGTTCTGAGGGAGAGTGCGTGGGAACCCATGCTCACCGTGGCAAACACCGGAACCCCATGACTAGCCCCTCACCTGGCATGGAGCTGCCTGGTTTGGGCTGGAGCAGAGCTGGTTTCCTGGAATGTTCCTTTGGCCCACATGTGGTTCTGTCCCCGTGAGCTCTGTTGTCAGAGGCTCACGGGACAGAACCACATGCTAGGGTCTAGGGCCCCTGTCTACTGATGATCAGTTTGCCATGTCAGAAAGCACTTCTGAGAACAGATATGAGTCACCGGACAGGCAGGATCTTACAAAACTCACGGGCCTCTTTGGTCTGCAGGATGGCCCCACGTGTTCCATAGGCTGTCCGCTGAGCGGGATGAGCCGACTCCAGTTTCTTAAGGAAACCACTGGAATCTGTAGCCCCCACATGCATCTGTCTAACGCATGCCTCGTGTCTGTTCTGCAAACATGCCTGTCGTGGAGGCTAGTCAGTTGTAGCACTGTGTCTCCAGGCTGCCTCGTGAGGCCATTCCCAGTGCGTGCCTGTGGGCTCCTTACCACCCCTTTTCCTGCTCAGGCCTGTAATCCCTGACAGACCTGGACTGTGTGGCTGAAGGGGGACCTGCAGCACTGCAGAAATGTCTCTGCGTGGTGCCGTGAAGGAAAGAAACCTTGGCCTGGTCTCAAGAAGCCTCCAGTGCTTCAGGAAGTTAGTGAGGGTGGAGTGGCTTGCAGGATTGGCCTGTTTCCAGGGCCTCCCACACTTATGGGCCAGATTGTGAATTTTGTCAGGCTTGTCCCTCCCTGACACCGAGTACATCAAGAGCTGATGGCCCCACCCTCTGGCTGGTGCTGGGCTGGAGGTGGCTGTGGGGGCTTTTGGCATGCATGGCCTGTCGCCACCTGGACAGCGTGACCTCAGGGGTTGTCCACCTTATCTTTATGGTGAGGCCTATCGGATGGCAAAGTCCTTGAAACCCTAGAGCTGTGATGTAGAATATGTACTGTCTGTGAAACCACGTTCGCAGTAGCGCTGACTGCAGTTGAGGTCCCTTACCCACCCGGGTGCTTTCTGCACAAAGCCTGGAGCCTGGCACTCAAGCCCACCGGTGGCGGCTCCTAGTGACTGGACATGCCTGGAAGACCCCTCAGCCTTCTGCTTGCAGAACGTTCATTTCAGGAGCTTCTCCTTCCCACATACATCTTAACTTGCTCGACACTGCCCCCTGCAGAAGCCTCGCGGGCTCTAGTCACCGTGTGTCTAGCTGAAGTTTGAACTGGCCAGCATGGACCTGTCCCAGGTGAGAGGGGAGACACGGTGGACTGGAAGGACTGGTTGAAAGTGGCTAATTTCTATCAGCTTAATTTGGCAGAGAAAATTTGTAACAACTCTGAGCACATGCTGGGTGAAGTCACAGCTCAAGGAAAGATAAAGATGGGCAGAAGGAGGTGTGGGTGGCTTCTGGGGTGGGACCCAGAGGGGAGGCTCTGGGACAGTGGCTGGGGTTCAGTGCCGGGGCCCTGAGGAAGAAATGGAGACTGATCTCAAAATTCTAGAATTCCTTGTACATCTGTTCATGTGCTTGTGTCCAGGTGCGAGTTGTAAACTGTCTCGTGTTTGCATTAAATAAAATGGCACCAAGCAGATCCTTGTCTTCTGATGGTGTTACGGCACGCCCTTGGTCAAGTGTTGCTACTTTTCCCTAAAGTAATTTTTTTTGTTTTGTTTTTTGTTTTTTTTTTGAGACGGAGTCTCGCTCTGTCGCCCAGGCTGGAGTGCCGTGGCCGGATCTCGGCTCACTGCAAGCTCCGCCTCCCGGGTTCACGCCATCTCCTGCCTCAGCCTCCCGAGTAGCTGGGACTACAGGCGCCGCCACCTCGCCCGGCTAGTTTTTTGTATTTTTAGTAGAGACGGGGTTTCACCGTGTTAGCCAGGATGGTCTCGATCTCCTGACCTCGTGATCCACCCGTCTCGGCCTCCCAAAGTGCCGGGATTACAGGCTTGAGCCACCGCGCCCGGCCTTCCCTAATTTATGATGCAGAGCTGACCTCCCCCCGCCCCCAGCCGAAGGTTTTTCTCTAGAAACTTGCATTTACCCTTCAGTGACTAGCTCGGTGTCAGGACTTCCAAGAGTGGCCCCTCACTGTACAAGCAGCTAAGGCCAGGGGATGTGGAGCGACCAATGTCCTGGGGTTAGAGAGGGCAGAGGCAGGAGCAGAGTGCTGCCGGGCCGCTCCCAGGCTACATGGGTTGCCGAGTCCGGGGCTGCCCAGTTGGGGTCTGGAAGCAGCAGAGTCCCAGGCTCGCAAATCCCAAATCGACTGCTCTGCCGCCTTCAAAGCAGGCTAGTAACCAGTGGAGGTTCCAGTTATGTGCAGTTGTTTCAACCAGAAAGCTGAGTGAGAAAGGGACCCTGCACTTCGTCACTTGTTGCAACCTCATGGAGAGTGGCCTGTTTGGGATAAAGTCGGTCCTTCTCATCAGCTGGCATCTTAGCTTCAAATTGAGAAGACATTTCGGGGCATTTCACCATGAAAACAAGATGCAGTGGACCCTGGGTTTTAACATGGAGGCCGGTTGTTTCGTTGTGTTTTGCCAGCCTTTGCTTCTAGTGAAACAGCACCAGGTCCTCTCAAACCTGAGACCACCAGGTACCTCTCCTGTGCAGAGTTCTGCGTGGCTAGCGGGGGCCTGGTGCAGCGGCCCTCCTGGCCTTGCTTGCTGCTCTGATCTCACTGCTGGGGAAGGCTGAGTGGCAAGCAGCCCCCTGGGCATCCTCTGTGCCTAATAAATACCGGGCGCTCTGGCTCACTCAGTAGTGACGTGTGTGGAGAAGGACAGGGACCCCATACCCTTCACAAGAAGACCGACACACACAGGACACCAAGGGTGCTGCAAATTCATCCAGGCCTTTTTAGCCCTGAAAAGGTGAACACTCCTCTGGGGTGGGGGCAGTTTGGGGCCTTAGAGAGCACTGTGCTTGCGCACGAAGGACTGCCTCATCGCGCTGACTCTCAGGTGTCTCCAGACCTTTCTCCAAGTCGTCCACATTTTCTCAAGGTTAGAGCTGAGGGCATTTCTGACTTCACAGTCAGTATTTCCTGTTTCAGCCAAAATACGCAAGCCCCATGACACGTTTATGATTTAGTGAATGAATTAAATCACATAAAGGTACTTCACATATATTAACTGTGCTTGACACACAGTCAACATTCAATCCATGTGATTTTATTACTGATTTTCCTCAAAGGAAAAATCTGAGATACTTAAAAAAGACCAGGGAGCAAACATAAGATCATTTTAATTACAGATTGAAATACAGTGCAACAGATGAGACAAATACAATACTGTACCAGTTTTTAAAAACCTGAACCATAAAGGTTTCGCATTCTAGTACACATAAAACAAAAATTGCTTGGATAACAAAACTATACTTCAAGATGTTTTAGAAACAGTTCTGCACTAGGAACATACAAAGGGAAATGACCCATTGTGCTTCTTTAAAATGGAATAGGAGTCTGTAGGGTCCTGCTGACGGAGCCCCCCAGCCTCCGCCAGGTGAGGTGCACAGGGCCCACTCCAGGCACCAGCTCCCCACAACTTGGCTTCTCTGGTTTGTCGAAGGCATCATCCAGTCCACACTATGTTTAATAGTCCTGGTCAGCCAGGGGATTACATATGTCTGGGAAGAAAATGGGAAATGTCCCCATTAAAAAAAAAATCAGTATATCTATAATCCAGTTTATCCATTCATAAATAACGTTCAGATATGTTAGGAACATAAAAGCTAATGTCGAATATGATTTAGCAACAAATCCCACATGTGATAAAAATGGAGAATTGATTTTAGGTTATCAAATTACCTTGAATAAATCTCTCTGCTATCTTATAGAAGGATAATTTTCAGTAAGAATCAGGAGGTTCCCAGTTTTTTTTTTAAAAAAAAAAATCCATTCTCTATTAAAAAAACCCTTAACATATTTTCAAAAATAAGGTCAATTTGTAGGACTTTGCCTGGAATCCAGTAATTTGAAAACAGCCAGCTAACACTGTTATGCAGTCACGCTGGGGTTTGACCTTAGGAGCCGCTGCAGCCGCCTCTGCCTCTAAAGGCTGAATTCCTGCAGCCCGTGGTGGGAAGTTGCAGCAACGGGCACAGCATGAGGGAGGGGCATGGCCTGCTGGGGCAGGACCCAGGTGTGCAATAATCATCTGTGGCATGTCACACAGAGGAGCTCAGAGCTATGGCGCGCAAGTGGATTGAATCAATGGGTGGTAAATTAATTCCTGCGAGGACTGATGGAGTCACAGAGCTCACAGTCAGTCAGTAAAGGTTCAGGAGCGGGAAGAGGGCTGACCAGCTGTGGTCGGCTCTGGGAAGGGAAAACCAAGGGAAGTGCGTGCTATGCTTTTCCAAACCAAAGCCACAGCACAGTGGCTGCTTTCAAATATTAACAGGCAGCCATGTGAGTAAGCTGAGTTGAAGGAACTGTGATAAAATGAGAAATGATTCCATACAGGCAAATAACATAAGAGCAGACTTGCTTTGATCCTGGCAGCTGGCAGCGGTAAAGTGGTGGTGGGAAGCATGGCCAGACAGCCCAGGAGCGAGTGACAGGCAGCGCTCCTTGAAGGAGCGAGAGGCCAGCACCTGTGCACAGCTGCCAGAGGCTTCGGTTTACCCTCAGCGGGGCTGGAAGACTGAGCATGGCCGCTTGGTGCTGTCCCCATGAATGGTCTGAGCCGCCCCAAGAGGTGAGTACCAGAGTGAGGTGAGGACAGAACACGTTGTCCTTGAAATGACCATGTTCAAATCCCATTTCAAATGCACCACAGAAAAATGAGCATGAGGTTTGTTGGAAAATAATTTCTCCCACAGTACAGTTGAGCTGATCTCTCCTCAGGTGACTATTCTAAACGTAAAAAAGGACATAGGAAAATAAAGGCCTGTTTCTCTTCTCTAAAAATACCTTGTATGTACACAACAGTAATTGTTACAGGAGGACCCCGTGCATGAAGAGAACTGTGGAACAGAGGGCAGTGGTCTGTCTTCTCCCCAAGTACTTCATTCAAAACAGTTTTCAAGTTGTGGCCAAGAGCTGAGGGAAGCCATGGGGCTGGCAATGCGTCTTGAAGTGAATGGTGTTTGTTGTTACTGAAGGATTTAACTTGGAAAGAAATGGCGCACAGCTTTCTTGAACCTCAGTACTGCAATCCATTCACTTAGTTTCTCCCAAGCTGCCTGGACGCTAGAAGTTGCTTCACAGGGTGGACGTGACAGACGGCTCCCCTGTGAAACCGCTGACAGGAGGGTAACGGGCTGTTCACAAAACAAAAAGCACTTGCCAACAGTGGGAGCTGTCACCTAGCCACACAAATGGTCCCTGGGCCTAATCCTAAAAGACAAGATCACAAGCTACAGCCATAACGGTGATGGCCAGGCCCCTTTCCTGAGCCGCTGGCAGACAGTGGGGCAGCAGGCTGGCCTCGCTCGTCAGACTGAGGTGTGGACGGAGGTGGCGGAGTGGGAGGGCGAGGAGCCCCGCTCAGATGAGGATGAGACAGCACGTGTGGCCACCTCCCGCTGTAGGCCCTCCACACGCTTCTGCAGCTCCGCCCTGACGGCCAGCAGCTCCTTGAGATTCTGGTGAATGGGCATCTGGAGGGAACAGAGACAAAGCTGCATTATCAGGCCATCCTTCTACCACAGCATTTCCACATGGAGATGCTGTTGGCTTCAGGAGTTTTTCACCACCCAGACTCCTGGAGTGGCCAAAGTCTCCTGAGGCGTTGACTCATCTCGCGTCAGGTGGACAATGGGACCCCATTCCATGAGCTTTGGCTGCCACTGAGGCTGTCCTGCAGCTCCGGAGGCTGAGCTGCTGAGCCGGGATGAAAAGGCACCATGGGGAGGCTCCCACAGTTTCTCAGAAGACAAGCAGGCGCGGGGACACTGCGCACCACGGATCAACCAAGGGCACCGTGTGCAGACTCGGCGCAAGCAGTGTCCTCAAGACTGCGTCAGAAATGTTTACACGCAGACCCCTTTCCAGCATCTCCATTATCTCTGTATTTTTGCATTTTTATAAATAGCTCTGCTGACTGAAAATCCTTCTGTGAAATCAGCACTTTCTACAACTTGAAGCTGTGTTTCCATCAACCGGAGCAGGATCTGCCAGAAGCCCCCTGGAGCGGGCGGTGCCGGTGGGGGTGGGGAGCCTCCCCAAGGGACCAGGCCCTTGCTCCTTGCTCAGCATCACCGCAATGCCTCACCCTAATTAGCTTTTCTCTTTTAAACCCATCAACTGCGGGACAGGGGTGAATATAAACAAGAAAGGTTTTCCTGGGGCATATGGGACATCCAGTCCTGCTATTTTATAGTCATGGCACCCAACCCACTCGCCTAAGAAGCTGTCCCCAGCAGCTACTAGGGTGCGAGACATCCGAGACCCAGCTTTTCTCCCCTGGAGCTGGGGGCAAGGCTGACCAGAGCCTCAGACTGGGTCTGAGGGAGGAACAGGGTGCTGTCTGGGGAGCTCTCCAGCCTTCCCTGGTCTCTGATCCCGTGTGTAAACAGCAGCCACAGGGCTGGCTCCTAAGCCTCAGCCAGGCCCTGTGACTGGCCACTTAACACCTTCCAGGGGCTTCTTCCCCCTGCCCTGAGAGGGGCCTCAAGGCCCTCTGCAGTCTGGTTCCAGCCTGGCCCTCTGGCTCACCTTTCACCAGGTCCTGCCCCCACTCCCTCAAAGACTGAGCTGTACCACCGTGTGTGCCAACGGTGATCAGCCCCTCCTGGAGAGAGGGGGGAGATGGAAGGAGGATGAAAGCAAGACTGCAAGACAGCAGCCAGGTCCCTCTAATAACAGGGTGCTCAGTAACCAGCACCCAGTGGGCTGAGAACAAATGGCCCCCTTGGGCAGGTCACAGGAAGAAGAGAGGGGACAGGAGTGGAGTGTGATGGCAAAGGCAGATCCCAGAGGCCTCTGGGAGGTGGCACCAGCTCCTCTCTTACCCTTAGGACCCATCTGGTATATTTTCCTGTCTGTAGGATCATTTAATTCTGATCAGATAAGGGAAGGCCTTGCAATCAAGCTCCCGTTATCCATCTACAGGCATGTGGCCTCAGCAAGAAGCAAGACACGCAGGGAAATACACCACTGACACACACCCAGGGCAGAGGCCCAGCACTGCTCAAATGCACTGCTATCACTTCTTCACCAGCTGTTTGCATCTTTTCTCACATATTTCTTTTTCTTTTTTTTTTTTTTTTTTGAGGCAGAGTGCAGTCTCACTCTCTCTCCCAGGCTGGAGGCACGATCTCAGCTCACTGCAACCTCCACCTCCCAAATTCAAGCGATTCTCCTGCCTCAGCCTCCTGAGCAGCTGGGATTACAGGTGCCCGCCACCACTGTGTCTAATTTTTATATTTTTAATAGAGATGGGGTTTCACTATGTTGGCCAGGCTAGTCTCGAACTCCTGACCTCAAGTGATCTGCCCACCTTGGACTCCCAAAGTGCTGGGATTACAGGCATAAGCCACCGCGCCGGCCTACTCACATATGTTCATTTGCAACAAATCAAGGGCATGCCTGAAGGAATAGAAAACTCGGAGGCTTAAACAGAGGATTGCATTAGAGAAAATTCCCATCTAAGGGCCAGTCATGTTTGCCCCATGGGTGCTAGCATCACAAGACATAAGGCAAGACAGTCCCAAAGGAAACAGGATGCCCATGGGCCTTCCACACCCAGCCATCCTCTGATGGATGCCCAGAGAACCCCTTTCTCGGCAGCCAATCGAGCTACTGCCTTCTCAGAGAAAAGAGGCCCAACAGGCTTGCATCTCCCCTGCTGTTTACCCCCGTACTCCCTCCCCTCCCCTCTCTTCCTCCTCCTCTCTGCCCCACCTGGCTCCTCAGGCCCTGTCACTGGACACCCACACCAGCCACTGATCTCTGCCTGTCTTCACTGCACTCCCCAACCCCCATTCCCATCCACCTCGATGCCGCCAGAGTGAGCTTTCTAGAACATACACTTGGCTTTGTCATGCAAACCCTGGGATGGTTCCCACAAACCCTGGAATGAAGTCCAAACTCCAACCTACCTCCCCAGCGTCCATCATCACCAAGGCCCAGCCCATTCCCCAACACACTGTTGTCCACACCTAGGAGGTGTCCGACACATGCCTATTGCATATAGCATAACAAGCTGTGGCCCATGTACTCTTTCTTGGTTCTCTCTTCTGTGTAGCACAGTGGAGGGAGAATGCAAAAAGCAGGACCACCCACCTATTACCCTCCGAGCACAGTGCACTTGGAATGGATTCACTTCCTGATCAATAATCCCCTGTGAGGTCCCAGCAAGGCTCAGGACCCTGCCGCAGATCAGGCGGTGAGTCACTGCAGAGACGGGATCTGACCCCGTCGGGGGCATCCTTCCACAACTACACGCACTGGGCAGCAAGATCTCAACCAAGTCACTGCTTGTCTGACCCTTCCCTCATTCTCTGCATCGTGGAATTGCTGGGAGTGTTAACTGGGGTCATGTGTGTACACAGCCCACTGGCACACAAGAGGACTGCAGCTTACAGGCGCTTTTGCTGTGGTTTCCATCATCATCATTGCAGGTGACTTCGCTTACGTGTGTGAGAATCTGGCCACATCTGGGAACAGATCTGTCACGCAGTTTGTAGGTTTTAGGAAAGATCTGTTCCCTGCCTCACGTGGGGGGCAAGAATCTGAGCCTGGGTGTGCCCCTGTGGGACCCCACTCTAACCCTCTCTGCTGCTCAGCATTTCTTCACCTCTGCAACCTGCTGCACAAGGGAGAGCATGGCGGGGGCACGGGGGCCTCCTGCAGTAATCGAGAGGCTCCGTTTAGCCAAAGGCACTTCAGATCAGGCATAGTTCTGTTGGATTTTCTGCTAATGTTAATGACATTCCACCAACCACCTGGTCCTTTGAGTCACCAAGAATATTACCTGGTAACCCTGTGTGATTTAAATAACACAGTGACTTCTGACACTCTGTAGCCCGTCTTCCCTGTTGCTAAAACAGATGAAATAGAAGCCACCCAGGACGGAAAAACTCAGCAAAATGCCTAAGCAGAAATACACACCAGTGAAGAGGAAGGTGCTGGAAGGGGGATGCAGGCTTTGGTTCCCAAGTTGACCACTGACTGGCAAGAAGTGCTTGATGGGCCCCTGTGTTTAGCATCTTAAATAATGCACCTGAGGTCAGAAAGGAGGGCAGTGCTGGACCTGGACTCCAGTGACAGGGCAGCAGGTCACCCTGCACATAGACGTCTTGGGCTGAAAGCCAGGACAGAAGATGCTAATGGGACCAGCAACCTCTCACGCTCACTGATAGTTTCTGGGCACATGGGCCATTTCAAAGACAGCTCGCCTTCAAACTCAATTCTCATTTGGGGAAGGATTCAATCTAATGACAAGCAGTTATTAGATTAATAACTTAAAAGATCAATTAATAATAAGCAGGGACTAGTCTTGCAGAGCAGGAAGTCTAAAGGGAGAGATAAATATAATTTTTTTTTTTTTTTGAGACGGAGTCTCACTCTGTCGCCTAGGCTGGAGTGCAGTGGCGCGATCTCATCTCGGCTCACTGCAACCTCCGCCTCCCGGGTTCAAGCGACTCTCCTGCCTCAGCTTCCTGAGTAGCTGGGATTACAGGCGTGCACTACCACGCCTGGCTAATTTTTGTATTTTTAGTAGAGACAGGATTTCACCATGCTGGTCAGGCTGGTCTCAAACTTCTGACCTCGTGATCTGCCCACCTCGGCCTCCCAAAGTGCTAGGATTACAGGCGTGAGTCACTGTGCCCGGCCAGAAATGTAATTTTTTTTTTTAAAGAGGAAGAAGAAAGCTAAGATGATGCCAGAAGCTCAGATGGTAGCCAAGTGGCAGAGGACGTGGGGAGCTGGAGCCATTGGGCAGCCACAGAAGGTGATGTCTGGGCTGTCAAGCAGGAGCAAAAGGCCTCTCCACAGGAAGGTGGAACGTGGACTCAAGGCAGACTGCGGCAGGGAGAGTAGGTAGAAGGCTGTTCCAATATCCCAGAGGATTGGGTGTGGAGGGGAGACCTGAGGGAGAGGCCAGTGGGGACAGGACACGTTTAGGGTGGGCAGGTGTGAGTCCTCTGTAGGCTGAGGGGCAAGAGCCACCAGAGGTAGCAGGAATAAACGCAGGTTCAAGGGGCTGGAGAGAGCAGATGTGCGGGAGGAACTGGCCTGCAGCTGAGGGGCGCACCTCTTCATTCACTCATGCGTTCAGTCAGTCACATTTGTCGAGTCTCTGTTAGTTGCCAAACACCATGTTAGATCCTGAGGGCCCTGTGGTTTCAAAGCCTGTGGTCTGTAGGTGCAGCAGCAGGCAGGCAAATACGCCAGTGCAGTATTGAATACCCTGGGGAATTCTGCAGACCGATTATTACCAGCACCTCTGCTCTCTTTCTCAAAGTAGGCTAGTCTGGGCAATAAACATAGGGCCACCAGAGCACGAGGTGAACAGAGAAGAGGGCGCTCAACAGGAAAGGCTCCGGGGCAGCATGAGTCCCAGCAGCTCCCTGGCTAGTGGGAGGGGGACACAGATGCAAGTCTCTCCTATCCAGGGAAGACCCTGGGAAGAGCTGAAAGAGGTGATCAAACACTAGTTGTTTTCATACATGTGAAGACACAAAGGGTAGCTCATTCACATGGGGCATCTGCTTCAAGCAGGGGCAGGGCATGTACAGGGGAGATGTGGCTAAGGGCAACCCTGGGATGCAGGAGCTCCCCCCCAGCCAGGACTCCTTCCCACCTCCCCAGGCCCAGCGTACAAGTACTGGGCTGAGTGAGCACCGATCACAGTGTTCTGGAAAACACTCCTGAGGTCGTAAGGGTGGCAGGGCCAACTCAGAGGGTCCAGAGGAGAAAAGCATTTGCAGCAGAAGCTGTGTGGAACAAAACAGAAAGCCATCTGGGAAAGAGGAGGCAAGTGATGACCAGCCTGGTCTGTGGTAGAGGGCAAAGGATCCAGTAAGGAGTGGCCAAGCAGCAGCCTGGGGCAGCGGGGCACACCCAGCAGATGGATCATGGAGCTAAGGCTACCAGTGAGGGAGCTTTCCAGCTGGCAGGCTGGGGTACTATAGTGACGTATCCCTGAGGTTCCAGGGCCAGGCAGCTGAAAAGGAACATGAGCAGTTCAGACTGCCCCATGGCTACTGGAGCATGGAGATGATATGGAGATCAGGAATACCCTAGGTGAGAGGGATGGGGGAGCAGGAGGATGGAGAGGAAAGACAGATTTCTGTATCGTTGGCTGACAGAGCAATGCTGTTAAACAATGCCCTGCGTACACGCTCCTGATGCACTGCAGTTAAACTCTGAGAGTATTCAACTCAAAAGAAAAATTTCAGGCCTGGTCCAGTGGTGCACGCCCATAATCCCAGCACTTTGGGAGGCCGAGGCGGGTGGACCACCTGAAGTCAGGAGTTTGAGACTAGCCTGGCCAACATGACAAAACCCTGTCTCTACTAAAAATACAAAAATTTGCCAGGCATGGTGCTGTGCACCTGTAATCCCAGCTACTTGGGAGGCCGGGGCAGGAGAATCACTTGAGCCTGGGAGGCAGGGGTTGCAGTGAGCCAAGCTCATGCCACTGCACTCCAGCCTGGGTGACAGAGCAAGACTCCGTCTCAATAAATAAATAAATAAATAAATAAATAAATAAATAAATAAATAAATAAATAAATAAATAAATAAGAAAAAGAAAAGTCTCAGCAGACAGTTACCTGTCCATGGAGGTACAGGCTGCCTCTACCCGTCTTCTTCACCACCCAGGACCAATCACGCCCTGGCCACCCAGGTGGAGATTGGGGGTGCAGGGCAGGACGGAATCCAAACCACAACACAGTGGAGGATGTGGGGAGCCCTTCAGGAACCCGCAGCCAGAGCTCAGCCACTGAACACAAAGACAGGACACAGGCTTGGCGGACTGGCCCCTGTAGTGCACCATTCTCTAATTTTGTTCAATCTCAGAAAATATTATAGTGAAAAAGTGTGGCAGGGAGGGGCAAACTCTCCCCCTTCTTCAAAGGAGCACCTGTTCTGTGACTCAGCAACCTGCCCTCCTACTGCTGGACTAACAGGGTCTATGTACTGTAACCTGACGCATTTTCCACGTCTTTCTACCACGTCTATGTGGAAACAGGGAGAAGGGCTGCCACCTCACCCTCCAGACCTGTAGTAAAGTAGTTTATAAGACAAAGGGTCAAGCACTGGAACACATGGCATTTTATGTATCTCATCAGTACGAGACAGAAGTGCTAAGGTTTTTAACTTTAACCCAGCAAACAGCATCAGAGTTGGTGTACGGGCAGAACCTCCTGGAACATGAATGCAAAGGATTGAACCCTGACAGGCAAGGGCAGAAGACGTTAGTATGGTATGTTAATATCTACCATTAACACATTTTCATACCACCATCTTTACTTGGAAAAAAAGGCATACTCTCTCATTCATGAAAAGAAAAACAAAAAGATACCTGAGGTCTCTTCCGTGGATTCCATCGTACATAATAGTTTACCCACAATTCCAAATGACTCAGACTAGCAACAGGATATAACACATGGTTTTCATAATTCACAAAGAAGGGATTAGAAAACTCATCTAGCTGGCTATTGATATACGACCATAAAGATATCGTCTTTGTATATACATCCTGAAAAACAAAAAAGAACATTGGAAATAAACTCTTCTTCATATCATCAAGAATTAGTATTACACCAAGAAAAGGACTTGAATAATGAAGTGAATTCAAACGCTGAAAACTTCATGAACATTTACTAGGTCCCAGCCCCACCTTCTTCCCACTCATGGCCTGATGGCGGGATGAATGAAAACGCACTGCTTGCTGTCCTGGAAAAACATATGGCTGAAGTTAGGTAGCATCTGACAACTGTGGCTATGGAAAGGCAGAGTGAGAACTTTCTAACAACCACAGGATGACAGGGTCCACCAACAACAAATGCAATTTTCAATTCTGGTGGAAGGTTTGCTTTTGTGGGCTGGGCACAGTAGCTCAAGCCTATAAGGCCAGCACTTTGGGAGGCCACATGGCGAGGACTGCTTGAGGCAGGAGTTTGAGACTAGCCTGGGCAACACAGTGAGACTTTGTCTCCACAAAAAATAAATAAATAAATAAATTTAAAGATTAGCCAAGTATAGTCCCAGCTCCTCAAGAGGCTGAGGTGGCAGAATTGCTTGAGGCCAGGAGTTTGAGGCTGTAGTGAGCTATGACTGTGCTGCTGTACTCCAGCCTAAGCAATAGAGCAAGACCCTGCCTCTAAAAAAAAATAGAGCTTTTGTGACTCCTTTTTTTTTTGAGATGGAGTCTCATTCTGTCACCAAGGCTGGAGTGCAGTGGCACAATCTTGGCTCACTGCAATGTTGGCCTCCCAGGTCAAGCAATTTTCCTGCCTCAGCTTCCCGAGTAGCTGGGGACTACAGGCACACACCACCACGCCCAGCTAATTTTTGTATTTTTTGGTGGAGATGGGGTTTCACCGTGTAGCCCAGGCTGGTTTTGAACTCCTGACCTCAAGTGATCCTCCCGCCTCGGCCTCCCAGAGTGCTGGGATTATAGGTGCAAGCCACCACGCCCGGCTGTGACTCTTAATATTGAGAAATGAGAATAGACTTTACAGTTAAGATTCCTTGTGCTGGAAAATCAGAGCTATCTGGAGGAAAATGTGCTGTGGTGGCAGGCTGGAGAAGCTTTATAAAGACAAGTAAATATATTACTAAGTTATCTCTTCTTCCCCTAATTTTGTAGTACACTATTCAGAAACACTGCACCTACTTGCATTGCTCATCTGAACAAAAACACCCAAATGTGCAGGCATGGTGAGGCAGGTAAATATTAAACAATGGCTCAAGCACGACAAAGTCAAATGAGAAAATGGCAAGGCCAACAGCATTTTCTCCCATTCTGCTGCTGACTTCCCATGAGCTATCTAAATACAGGAACATTCAATTAGGACCATTTCAATTTTTATACATTTATTTATAAGAGAAACACCAACAATAATTCAAAGGATCTGGAAGAGCTAAAATAATCCTGAAAAAGAACAAAGTAGGAGGACTCATACTTCCCATTTTCAAAACTTATCACAAAGCTACAGTAATCAATGCCAGTGGTGCTGGCGTAAGGACAGACATGCAGATCAATGGAACAGAACAGAAAGCACAGAAATGAACTCTCTGACATTTACGGTCAACTGATCTTCAACAAGGGTGGCAAGAAAATTGAATGAGGGAAAGAAAATCTTTCCAACAAATGGTGCTGGGACAGCTAGAAAGCCAACACACAAAAGAATGAAGTTGGATCCTTAATTCACACCGTATACAAATGTTACCTCAAAACGGATCACAGACCTCAATGTAAGAGCTAAAAGTATAAAGTTCTTAGAAGAAAACATAGGAGCAAATCTTCATGACTTTGGGTTAAGCAATGGTTTCTTAGATATGATACCAAAAGTGTAAGCAGCAAGAGAAAAAAGAAATTGCACTTTATCAAAATTAAAACATTTTGTGCTTCAAAGAACACCCATGAAGAAAGTAAAAAAAAAAAAACAAAACCCATAGAGTGGGATAAAATTTTTGCAAATCATGTATCTTATAAGGGACTTGAATATACAAAGAATGTATAAGGAACTCTTACAGCTCCATAATAAAAAGGACAAACAACACAATTTTAAAATGAACTAAGGATCTGAATACACACTCTCCACAGAAGATATGCAAATGGCCAATAAGCACATGGAAATATGCTCAACATGATTAGTCGTTGGGGAAATGCAAATCTAAAACCACAACATACCACTTCCCACTCACTAGGATGGCTATAATTTTTTAAAAAGGAAAATAGTAAGTGTTGGTGAAATGTGGAGAAATTGGAAGCCTCAGACATTGCTCGTGTGTGCAACTGCTTTGGAAAACAATCTGGTAGTTTCTCAATAGGTTAAACATAGTTGCCATATGACCTGGCAATTCCACTCGCAGGTATAAATGAATGAAGGCATATGTCCACATAAAAACTTGTACATGAATGGTTATAGTAGCATTATTCCTAAAAGCCAAAATGTGGAAACAACCCAAATTTCTATCAACTAATGAATGGATAAACAAAATGCAGTCTATCCATATAATGGAATATTGCTCAGTCATAACAAGGATGTATTGGTACATAGATGAAGCTTGAAAACGTTATGCTAAGCGAAGGAAGACAGTCATAGACGTTCACCTATTGTATAATTCCATTTCTATGAAATGTCCAGAATAGGCAAATCCATAGAGACAGAAAGCAGATTGATGGTTGCTAGGGGATAAGGGTGGGGAAAATGGGAAGTAATTGCTACTGAGTATGCCATTTCTTTTGGGGGTGACAGAAATTTTATAAAATTAGGCCAGGCACAGTGGCTCACA